AAGGATCGTTTCCCCTATTCGTACGAAGCCGCCGGCGAGACGGGCTCCTCTATAAATAAGATACATCGACTCGGCTTACTATCCCTACCGGCCCTACCGCTCTCTTACCCGTACGTAACTAGACTGTCGGGGCAGTTATAGTAGATGACCGCTTATACGTCTAGTATATCGATGCTAAGCCCGAGGGCGTTAGTTATAACGATTATGCCTTTCTCGGCCGCGACAAACCCCTCTAGACTTACCTTCTTATCTTCGTACGAGGAGAAGTAGTAAGTATAGCCTAACTATGCTGCAACTATAGTAACTATCTACTTACGTCGGTAGTAGACGATCATCTTACCGCTTTCTAGGCGCTATATATACCTCTCGATCTCGGCTATACGATCGGTCAAGCTTACGTACGACACTATATATTCGAGATTATGCCGGGTGGTGTCTACCCTAATTGTACGAACTAGTACCCGCTATAGACCGAGTAAGCGCTAGAACGGAAGCTCTTAACTAACCGGTAGCGTAGCCGTTAGGAAGACTAGTTATACGCCGAACTAGAACAGAGTGACGAGTTCTTTAATCGCTAGCCGGAAGTTAATGTCGTCGTCCGAGAAGATGTAACACTCGTTAAATACTACCCGGTCGATCTAGCCCGTCGTACGAAGGCGGTAGAAGTAAGTAAGGAAAGCGGCCGTTATTACCGATTCGGGAGTTATAAAGANAAGTTTAGCATCGACGTCGTCGCTTCCTTAGCCCTAGACGCGCGTANGGATAGAGAGAGCTGTCGTACGACAGAGCATATCTTACCGTAGAGCTAGTAGAGGCATAACTATAATCGTCGTCCCGCTAAACTCGTACGAGGCGGGAAGTATAAATGATAGACTCTTACCGGAGCCGGTCGGCATAATAGCTAGTATCGGTGAGTCGCCGTCGTACACTGCTCTTAAAACCTCCTCTTATTTCGAACGGAACTCTACCTAGGGAGAAACTAACTCGCGAAGTCGTACGAGGGGAGACGACCGCCGTAGTAGCGCCTAACGTCGTACGATATGCTTCTCTACTAGTACTTCGTACGGGTTATTACTATCGTCGTCGTCGTTAACATAATTATCGTCGTTAGCCTTATTACTGCCTTTCTTACCTACTTCTAGCGTAAGATTACACTTAAGTAAGGCGTGCTAGGCCCGGGACACTATACGAAACTTGTCGCGCGAGGTAAGTAGAGATCCGCTAATCGCCTAGCCGTCTCGTCCGTANACTAGCTAGGCTACGTACGACGAGTATAAGGCTTAGGCGTTAAGCGGGTTCGTTATCCTTTCTGCCGCGTCGCTATGCTCGTCCGAAGCATCTACCGCATTTATAAACTACTCGGCTATAGTAAGGTAGCGTCTACTAATTATAATAGCGAGATGTCTATAGCTAGAGATGTTAATGCCTTTACAGCCGGTATACCTCTCGGTGGTCTATTTAAACCTCGTACAAAATGTGTCTCTGTTAAAAGCGTGCCCCGGTAGCTGGTCGGGCTATAGGTGATCGCTCACCGTCGTACGGCTATAACACTACGTCTCTAGCAGCTCGATCTAGGGTAATACGAGCTAGAGGTAGCGTACGACGAGCAGGCCGACGGTCTCGGGTAGGTATCGCTAGATAATGTTTATATCGGCCTTTACTGCGATAGTCGAGCCCTTATAGTACGAGGTTATAAGACTAATAAGCCCGCCGTCGATATAGACACCCCGGTGTCTACCCTCGTACGAGTTCCTATAACGGATAGATAGTATCTCTATAGCTCGTACCGGCTAGCCGCTAGTAATATAACAGAGGACGGCGAGGTTCGTACNGAAGCGGTCTACGTAGCGGATGTATCGATTAACGGCGGGTGCCTTAAACGTATCGCTCGTACGGTCTACGAAGAAC